ATACCGAATAGTTTCTCTGGTATGAGAAACTGAAAGTGTAATTAAGGATTAAAATGATTAAAATGAATAATTGATAATTTGAAATAGGAAGAAAAAGTTCAAAGGTGTAGGGCAAGTTGGAGGGGTAGGGGAAAGGAAAGAAGGGAAAGGAAAAATTATGAGAAGAGCATAAAATGGAAACAAAGTATTTGTAAATAGGAAAAGGTGGATGGGGCGAAGGGAGGACAGGTAAAGGGGAAAAAATAAGAACCAAGATACGTCATGTACAGGTACAAGCACCCGATGATAAATTTAAACATTTGTGCACCTAAAATATAAACACTGTGTATCTAAAATGTATTAATAAGAAAATTTAAGCAAAAAAAAGAGAAACCACTGGAAAGCTATTCAAATGTTTTATGTGATGTTAATAATGAAATCACACTTGTATTCTAACAAGGTCTCTCAGGCTACAGCAAGAAGCATAAATAGATAGCTTCATTTTCAGTCATATGGTATACCAGATAACATCAAAACTCTTCCACCAGAAATGTTGATATTTGAAATGAAATAAATCACATTCTTTTAAGTAAAGGGCTAAGTTTGCATGTAGGGCCACTCCCCAAGTGCTAGGTACAAAGAGAGAATTGAAATGATAACAGTAAGTCCTGGGACATATATTTTTCTTGAGGAGCACAGCCTGTCTCCATGAGCACACGGATCTGTTTTTAGCACTCATATGAGACCAAAGCCCTGTGAAAGTTAGCAAATTGAAACTGAGATCCCTACAAAAAACTTTTAAAAGGATGGCCTAGGGAAAAATAATTCATCTGTTGTGACAATGTTTGTTTCTTCCTGGCCCATGGGTGGTAAACAAGTCTTTCCTGAGAATTTGTGACAATGTCTTACAGAATTTGGGGATTTATTTTTTTATCCAATAAGTTCAGAAACCTCTAAGCTGAAAAATTAAAATCAAATTTAGTCTTAGATTAGTAACATCTCTGTGGCATTTGACAAAACCAACTCATCAATACTCTGGAGGGCCACACCTTCATATAGGTTTCCAAGGCTGTATATGAAAGCCCTGTTGAGGATGTAGCCACATCTCACAAACCTAAAAACCATGAGTGAGAGTGGCATACAAAGCAAACAGATTTATATCTCTGAGAATTTTAAGTGATAAAACAATCTAGTAGAAACTGCAAATAAGTATGATTAATATTATTAAAGATATAAAAGAAGACATCAAAACCATGCAAAAATAGCCAAGTATTATGAAAATGAGAGAGAGAGAGAGAGAGAGAGAGAGAGAGAGAGAGAGAGAGAGAGAGAGAATTGGACAGTAAGAGTAATGCAACCAGATTAAGAATGCAACTTCTTACCAAATGTACAGGACTCTTGGTACACATCAAGGTTTAGAAAACGATTATATTTTTTCTTTTCTTTCCTTATGTTAAATATTTTTTCATGTAGGACAAACCTCTCAATTGCTCTGTTAGTGACATCAAATATATAAGGATATAATGAGTGCTCCAGACACAGGAAACATTTTCCATATTTAAAAATGTTGGTCAGCTCATAAGACATTCTCTCTGTTATGATTGTTAAAATGTCTCATAAAGGAAAATATCATCTCAGTGTGATTTCTTTGCTTCTTTACACTCTTCAGCTCAATGTTCTCTTTCCAGCTGGGCACAAATTGAGGACATTGGCCTTTTCAATGGTGGACAAAGAGCCATAATGGGAGCGAGGTGGCAAGCATCAAAAGGAAGCTCAAAATAAGGAAGGCTCATTATTTTATCAGAAACTTTTTTCCTTGATACAGTTTCAAAAATTATTCCTACGCTTCAAAAAAGAACTAGGAATAAGTGAGGCACTAACATCAAGAAGTTACCTGGTTAGACTGAGCTAGCTGGTGCTCTGGATGAACCAAATCCCAACCCAGGTTTGAGTTGAATGAGAGTTTTTGTAGTGGAGCAACTTAGCTAGAACTAGATAATTCCAAAGCCAGGAAGAATCAGGTCGATTTCACTCACCTCTGCCTTGTGACATGTCAATCATCATCACCATCACCACTGTCTTTTATTGAAGTTCAAGTATCTGCCAGACCACATGTTATTTCATTTCATTATCAGATAACTTCTGCATAGTGAACATTAATATCCTCATTTCTAAGATGAAAAAAATACAGAAAAATGAAATGATCCCACTGTCCCAACCTTTAGTTCTCCTTAGAAGATTTAAAAATAGGCAAAGTCACTGAGAGTCCTGAGAAGAGCAGGGACCAATAGAGAACTTTCTTTTTTGTTTTGTTTTGTTTGATAAAGTTTTTATTTCTTTTTTAAAATAACATTTTTATAACTAAACTTTACCATTTAAATCATCTTAAGCATAAAATTGAGTGACCTTTACTACATATACTTTTGGAAAATACTTTGGCTGGATATAGAATTCTAAGTTGATGAGGTTTTTTTCTTTGAACACCTAAAATATTCTGAGGACTAAGGGTACGGCTCAGTGAGGAGTGCTTGCCTGGCATGCCTGAGGTTCTGGCTTCATCCCCAACACAGTAAAAAAAAAACCTTTTTCACTCCCCTTTCTTCTTGTTTGCATGGTGCCTGCCAAGAAGTCAGGTTCCTGTTTCTTCTGTAGGTAATCTGGGCTTTTTGGTGGTTTCTTCAATATTTTTTGTTATTTATTTATCTTGGCTTTTTTTGAGCAAGGTCTCAGTATGCAGTTCAGGCCAGCCTTGAACTCACTATGTAGCCCAGCCTGCCCTTGAATTTTCAATGATCCTCTTGCCTCATCCTCCCAAGTGCTGGAATCACAGGCCTGCGCCACCACACTCGGCTGCTCTTTATTTTCTATAATTTGAATAGATGTCTAGGTATTGGATTTTTGTCTTGGGTTTGGGGGTTTTCTTGGTTGTTTGTGTTTTTTTGTAAGTGGAGTTTTTTGGGGGTATTAATACTAATTAATACTAATTTGGTATTAATACTAATTAGTGTTCCTAAGCTTCCTAGGCTTGTAGTTTAGTATCTCCCATTAATTTTAGAAAATTATCAGCCATCATTATTTAAAATATTTCTCCTGCTCTGGTCTCCCTTTCTTCATCTGTGGTGTTCCAATAGTTTGTATGTTATACCTTTTTACAGTTTGTTGCTGTTGTTGCTGTTGTTGTTGAGACAGGGTCTCACTATGTAGTTCAGGAGCCCTGTCCCCCAAACTCAGTGGGATTCTCCTGCCTCAGCTTCCCAATTGCTAGGATTGTAGGCATGCACCAGCATACTTGGCTTATTGTGCTTTTTAAAAAAATTCTCTTTTCTTTTTGCAGTTCAGTTGGGTAAGTTTCCATCATATCTTTAGAATTGCCAAATTTTCCCTCAGCTGTGTCCAGTCTATTTATGATCTCATCAAGGGCATTCTTCATCTCTATTAAAGTGGTTTTACTTCTAGCATCTCCATTCACTCTGAGTTCTCACCTGCTTATATTACTCATCTGTTCTTGTGTGCTGTCTACTTTTTCCATCAGAGCCCTTAACATATTAGACAGTTATTTAAAATTTCCTGGCTGATAATTCCAAAATCTGTATCATATCTGAACTTAGTTCTATGCTTGCTTTGTCTCTGTAGACTATTTTTTTTCTTGCCTTTTAGCATGAAGGTAAAGGAACTGAGGTAAGTAAAGATTTAGTGGAGACTTGGTGTTTTATTTAGGAGTCGGACTGAGTTTGTTTCCTATAACTTTACCCACCATGTTTAAATTCCTCTAGTGTCCATTGTTTTGTCTACTCTGTTGTCTTTGAGTTTCCCTAAGAATTTCTTCAATCACTCTGTCTTGAAGCTCTTTGTTATAATCTGCTACTGTTATAGTGGAGCCCTGTTGATATGATGGTAAGGTTTAGGGAAAGGGAAGTATTTTGTAATTTTATAGTTAAATCACCTTTTTAGTGCATCTGAGTCCTGGGTTATGACTCAAAGAGATACCTGTCAGGATGGGATGTCTTCCCATCCTCCTGAGGAAGGTTAAATGTAGCTGCTGTTGAGAACTTGTTCTAACTATGGGTGAGATGGCTCTGATAACGTTTTCTTGTTTTGAGAGGGAGTCTCAGCCTGGCTCTAAACTCCTAGATTCAAGTTATCCTCCTGCCTCAGCCTCCCAAGTAGCTGGGATTACAGGGATGTGCTACAGCATCTAGCCTAGAACATATTTTTAAATGTTTACTTTCTACTTTTCCTTGCTAGAGACAAATGGAGATTTATCTTGAATATATGCCATGAAGCCACGTTTAGCCTCCATCAACTTGTTAAAATCACCATTTAAATTTCCCTACTAGTAGGGCCAGGGATTTAGCTCAGTGGTTCTTCCACCTGCCTCGCAAGCGCAAGGTCTCAAGTTCAATCCCCAGTACAAAAAAAAAAAAAAAAAATTTCCTACTAGTTTGTGGCTCCAGCCGCTTCTGGTCTAAAGAAGCCAATGGTGGCTGTGAGTGCATTTGTCTCTCTCTAGATTTTGGGATGGCAGTTTGCCCTGCAACCTCCTTTCCCCCATGGGTCCAAGATAAGTGATTCCCTTTCAGTTCATTGAGCTTTTTTCTCTTTATAAGCATGGGAATGATGGCCTCCAAGCTCTGTACATGTTAATGCTGGGATCAAAAATTGCTTTTCCTAAAAAAAAAAAAAATCTCAAAAAACAATTGCTTCTTTTTTTTTTTTAAAATGCTCTCAAAGCTCATGGGTCAGGTGGCCAAAAGGCTCTCTAGGGCTGGGGATTTAGTTCAGTGGTTCTGCTGCCTGCCTCGAAAGCGAAAGGTCCCGATTTTGATCCCCAGTACCAAAAAAAAAAAAAAAAAGGCTCTCTATAGCCATCTATTTGTCCACTGTGGAAAGGTCTGCAGGGCAGTGACTCTGTATGTAGGAAAGACCCAATGGTGCACAGGTGATCCTGGGCAGGGAGCCAACAGAACCTACAGATGCTGGGGGTGCAGACCTCACCCCTTCACTGCCTCATTCTTGCTCCATCATTTCTCATTTGGAATGTCTCTCCTCAGACCCCACCTACAGTCCACCCTGGGTCCTGCCTGCTAGAATCTTTCATAACAATGGATCTAGCCCTGCCCCCAAACTCTCCTGCTCAAAAACCCTGCACTCCTAGAAAAAAATTACAAGTTACTTGGTGTGGCATATAAAGATACTCATGACTCACCCCAAATCTCCTGTTCCTGCAGAGTAATAAGGTGCCAGGAACACCTGAACCGAACATGCCCAGACCTGTGCAGATCCTTCTGGAAACCCTTCCCATTCTGACAGATAAACTTACTCAGTCACAGGACTGTATTCTGCGTCCCCACTTCTCGGCCTTTTGGCTAAGATCAAGTGTGGTGTCCTGCCGTGTTCCTCAGCCCTAGGGAACCTGACCAGCAGCTGAATCCTCATCTTCCTTGAGGCACAGGACTCCCAGGACAGATACTTTGCATCTCCCTGTGGCCTTTCTTCCTAGATGTGGGATGCTGAACTCTGGCAGTCCTCCCCAATCACCCTCTTCAGCTAAGGAAGGTGATGTACTCTGCAGGCACAGATCCCAGGGGTACCCATTCCAAGCTCTAGTACTTCCCAGCTCTGGCACCTAGACAAGCTACTTATCTCTTCATGTTTCACCTTCATCATCTATAAAACATGTAATAAGTGGGACCTAGCTCTTAGATAGAGGCCTCCATGAAATAATGCAATACAGGGAAGTTTGTATGTGGTAAATGCCCAACAAGTGATTGTTACTATTAGTACAACACCCACATTGATCAAGCACCATGGCAGGTGTGCAGATGTCCTAGTGCAGTGACGGCAAACCTTTTAGAGCTTTCAATGATAACAAACAGCCCACTGTGACACACGTGCCATACATTCACCACCACTGTCTTACAGCATTTTATCCATACCTCAGCCAGCAAGGCAGGGAAGTTAGTTTGTTTGCCTCCACAAAGTAGGCAAAAAGTCCCTGAGACAAAGCCATCTGCTTCCCCTGGGCCACCACGGCTCAGCCCTGTCACATACTCCTGGGGGTGTGGAGGCTCTGGATGGGGAATGGGGGAGGCTGCATAGATTTGGGCTGTCTGGGGTGCCCATTGGCACCTTAATGATGGAGGAGATGGCAGCAGCCATGGTGGGGGATTGGGGCACAGGGGTGGGGATGTGTCCCAGCCAGGCTGTTGACTGATTCCACAAGGTGCAGAGATCGTCTTGGCCCTTCTGCTCATTCCATTCCCCCAGTGCAGGTGAGGAGGAGGAGCCCCCATTTTTTGAGGTCTTCCTACACACCAAGTGAATGCAGAGCTGGGTGATTTGATATCACATCCATCCCCATGAGCTCCAAGAGGCAGCTGTTATTGCCTCTGGCACATCCAAGTCCAAAGAGAACCAGCCAGGTTTGCGAGGAGACTGATATGCAGGAAACACCTCATCTCCATTTCCACTGCCAAATAGTTGAGGCCTGTTTGCCCTCACTTCAATGGCTGAGGATCAATTACTGGGAAACATCAATTTTGGATTACCACAACCCTGGTTTAGATGTCAGAACCTGAACACTAATGATCCATTTAAATCTCTTAGCTTACACACAGGTTGTACAGTACACAACATGTATAACTCCATGTAACAGCCCCATCATTCCCAGAGGAGGAATCTTTTTAGACCAGAGTTGTTGATACTACCCTTTTCAGCTCTGTGACTGCAATCCCTTCCTTCTTCAGCACTTCAAGGTGTCCTACTGTTAAACAAACCAAGCTCAAATGGTCCCAACAGTCTCCTCTGGTGTCTGCCCCAAATCTTTGGCCTTGAAAGAGCAATCTACCTTACAGGACCCCTCATCCACTCTCTCACTGGCCCCAGGCTTCCTTCCAAAGGCTTCCTCTATGATTACTCACCAGTCTCATGTTCTTGCTCGGTTCCTGTCCTTCACCTCTCCTTGGAAGTGATCTTAGAGATTGCTGGAAATCTCCCCTCATGCTTCAAGAACACTCCAAGGATTTGCCTACTTCTCCCTATCTCCTTCTGCCACCTTCTCCCTCCCTCAGGCCTTGACCTGAGACATTGCTGACTTGCTGTGTCTACCTTAGGTCTAGTCCTGTGGGTCCTCAGTTGCTCTCCTTCCTGTCTTCATCTCAATGAGGCAGGAT